CTTAGTTTAGTCTGAATCATTTCAGACACTGATAATCAAATGCCACAGGTGACACTTGCAAAGATGATTTAAAAGTTCACTCGTGCATTTTCAATACAAAAATCTTTATATTTGGGGAGAAATAAAACACATTAATGGCTTTTTTTTAATTATTGTTTTTATTTTTTTTTTTTAGTTGAATTTTTATTTCTTAGTTTAGTCTGAATCATTTCAGACACTGATACTCAAATGCCACAGGTGACACTTAAAGATGATTTAAAAGTTCACTCGTGCATTTTCAATACAAAAATCTTTATATTTGGGGAGAAATAAAACACATTAATTTTTTTTTTAATTATTATTTTTAATTTTATTTTTTTTAGTTGAATTTTATTTTCAATTTTAGTTTTCCTGCTTTTCAGCAGGCCCTGAATTAGGCAGGGAAAAGCAAAGGCACGTGCAAAAGTTGAAGGGAAAAATCAGTTTCAATACTTACCCTAATCCCAGAGCCAAAACATGAGATATGAACAGAGATGGAATGAAAACCTTAAGGAATTCTGCAGAGAAAATGCCACCTTTTTTCATTGCTCCACTTTTTCTCATACTTAGGGACACTGAACGTTTGGGATGTCTGAAATGGAATTCCCTGGAAGAAGAGGGGGAGGGAGAATTCAACAAAATTCTTTTTGTTTCCCTTTTTTTTTTTTCTCTCTCTTTTTTTTTTTGCACAGATTTTTGTAGGAATATTGATTTATTTATTTTTAAAAAAAAAAACAAACCCAAAGAGCTAGAGATCAAAGCACAAGATCCCTTACACAGAGTAAGGAATCAAAGAGAATTATAGGAGGGATTGTGGAGAGACCACTTAGTACAGACACAAAGAGAGCAGGAGGTCCAAGAAAGGGAATTTCAGGATGTGATTTGTTAGCAAGAGCCTCATTTTTCTGTCCCAAACAGAGATACAGAAGTCTGTATTTTAATAAAAAGGCTTTGCACTCAAGGATCTCAGTGTTCCGTGGATGAACATTACATATTTTCCATAGAAAGAAAAAAAAGGGACAGAGAATTTAGATTTGCTCAACACTCCTCCACTCAATAAGCCAAGACTAAATGCCATGAATCCCAGCTCCAAGTACCCAGCTCTCCCAAAAATTGCAATTTGGGCAAGAAACCCTGTAATCAGCTTGCTGGGGGGATTTATGTTACTTTCAAATAATTCTGTTGCTATTAAGATTTTCATACTTCATTGCTTTGACTTTTTGCAGCCTCCCCAAAGAGAAATTGAAAACTGAACTTTTCCTAAGTTTGGAAAGCCAGAGTAGTTCCTCTCCTTCCCATATTCCTTAGAAAATGTGAATATTCATGAAGAAAAGCAGAGTTTAACTCACTTGGGAGGAATGTTTTCAGGCCTACTTGACCAGTCTGACACCCAGTCTGCACTTTTCTTCAAAACTTCCAATTCTTTCTCTCCTTCTGCTGCTTCTTCTTCGGACTGAAAACACACAGGGGAGAAGCCTTTTAACACTCAATTAGCTCCTCCTGGGGCTGTTGAACTGAGAGTGACAATAACAGTGGGAAAATGATAAGAACCCAACTGATAAACCAAGTGTTCCTGGCCTGCTGATTGTTGGGAAGAGATTTGATTTTGCCAACACAGAGTCAGTAAACCACAAATTTTATTGCTACATCCAGGATTTCCACATCATTGCAAGCTGTTTGTTTAACTAACAACAACAACAACAAAAAAAGGGATTATTTTACTCCTAAATAAAGCAGAACTATGCAAAAAAAATTATTTACAAATAGTAAAAACATTGAGTTGATGGCATTCCATTTAAAGCTCACAGAACGTGCCTGAAGCACAGAAAAGTCGAATAAAAAGGTTTCCAAACCAGTATTTTGACTTCTTCAATGGTGTTATTGGTAATTTGAAATTTATATCACTTGCAACTAGCAGCTTGTACTGACTGCAGCAGGAAAAGGCAAGCACTCACTGTAATTACATGATCCAAACTTTTAACTTTAAATCACTGGATGCAAACGTTACCACGCAGGAAAAAA